TTTTAGTTAGTTCATCATAGAGTTGTTTACAAAGAACTTTTTCTTTATGTGAATAACTAATCATAATATCAAAAGTATTCTGGTCAGTATTTCGTACTATTGATCTATCTTGATGATTGATTTCAAGATTCCAAAGAATACCTTGCGTTGTTTTACGCACTTGTTCATCATCAGATTCTTTAGCCAGTTGAGATAGTTTTTGAATAAATGATGGATTAGAACGGAGTTGTTGTTGAATATCATGGTTGAATGAAAGTGCCCATATAATATCAAATACAACTGGATATTGATCAGACATTTCAATGAAACCACCTAGCCTATTTGAATCGGCTACACCCTGTTGAATAGCATCGCTCTTTGATAAAGCCACAAAACCTAAGAAATCAAAGTTTAATCTAATAAATATTGAATAGAAACGTACTTCGTAATAAAAGAACAATCGGTAATTGCTTGTATTTTTTTAATGGATGATGCCAAGCTTGTTCAAGTATACTGTAGAAAAAATTGTCAACCTGATCAACCACTGTTAACTCTTTTAATTTTTCATCACTTAGAATTTCACCTAATATTGCATAAACATTTAAAGAAATAACATGATATGTCGATAATTCTGCTAATTTGAATAATGTATTAGGTAAGGTAAGATCTGTGCGAACGAATTCAGTTACATTTTGTGATTGTAATAAAGTTAATAAAAATTTTAAACCAGTAGTAAGGAAAATTGTTTCATCATTTAATTGTTCGGTTTTAAGTTTTTCATGAAATGGTTCATAACTAATTATTCGTATCAATGATTGTATAAAATCATACATTGTCTGTTCAGTAGGAAATAATATTTTTACTCGTGTTGATTTATCCCCTCGCCACCAATAACATGACAAGATAAAACCAGTCAGATGTGAGATGCAATTAAGAAATTTATTATTCCATTTTTCAATTGTTTGAATATGCATAAGGATGATTTGTAAATATTCATTACCAAAGTGAGATAAAAACTCTTCAGGAGTAAATATAAAATCATGAGTATATGCAGACAGATATGAATATACAGAATATGAACATGTGCTTATATAAAACAATTGTTTAGCTGTGAATATTGATGGTAATAAGTTTGATTGTTGAAGTTGTTTTATATAGAATTTAAATTGATCAGTCATAATATAATTACGTGCAATATATTCATTAATATGGCAAAGTATTGGTGATGTACCATAGTCAGGATATTCACGAAGAAAAGATGAAAGATTATCAAACCAAGAACTAACCATAATAATAAATAAATCATTATCATTTTTGCTTTGATTTATTTGTTGAAATATAATATTAATTTCATCAATAGTATTTGGAATAAGTAATAATGCTTTAACATCACTTTCAATATTTTCATAATTAAAAATTAAATTTTTATTAAACAATGCAAGTGTATTGAATAAAGTTATATAATCTGATTGTTTAATCCATTTACTGCAATCATGACTAAATCGTTGCCATATCCATTGTTTTAACGTAAGCAACGATTGAAATGATTCAGTGATAAATAATGTAATTGTTTCTGAAGTTTGTTGTTTGATTAAAAATGTGATTTTTTGTAGTGTATCAATTGATAAAGGTATGATTGAAAGTGCATTAATAAGGTGTTCAAAATTATCATCCATAATTTGCTAAAAAATACTTCGTTTTATTTATGCGTATATGTAAGATGATATAGTGTTGATAACCAGTTTATTGATTGATCGGAGTATTACACAGTTAAAATGAATTGGACTTTGTATATCCTTTATATATATATTTGCTCTCTTATTCAATCTACAATTAACGTCATATTCGATATTACTGACGTATTTCGTTATGAGTCATTTTATAATAATATATTTTCTGCTGTTATTTCTTTTTGAGATATTGATAAGAACAAGAAGAAAAAAAAAGAAGTCAGTATTGAAATATTTTCGTATTTGATTTATTATTAGTAGACGTCAAATTCCAAGAATAACAAGATCAGTGGATATTCGATATGTTTTAATAAAGTCAATTTCGATAAAACTATGAAGGTCTAATATAATCATCATTTTATTCGTCAGAATGTTTATTTCTTTATGTGATTGTCGATAAATTGTTTCATTCTAAAATTTTAAATAAAAATAGCGTACACCTTCTTTAAAAAGGATTCTATGTAGTTGATTCTTGAAAAAAATATCGTGTTTTAAAACTTCGTTGAGGCTCTTATTAACTATAATTACAAATATTATACAATGTACATCTTTATATCTATATTTTAATAATATATTTAATAATAATTTAATAAGAAAGTCTTGTCGATGAAGTACTACGTTTAATCTATCAGATGAAAATGCTACATATGATCCTATTACTGATTGGCTAAAAAGTGATTTTAGTATTGTTATAGCTTATAGTTCATCGGATTTAGGTGGAACATATTTATTGTATGCAAAACACTGTTGAGTCCGAAATTATTTTGACAAAAATTTAAATTTATTAAAAATTGTAAAAAGTTTAGGACGTTTATAAATAGGGTCGAGGTTTATAAACCAGGTCAAAATTGGTAATTTGACAAGTCTAGAAATTCA